AGTCTCAATCTGTTGCCCAGGCTGGAGTGCAATGGTGCAATCTCTCACCGCAATCTCCGCCTCCCAGGTTGAAGCGACTCTCCTGCCTCATCCTCCTGAGTAGCTGGTGCCTGCCAGCATACCCAGGTAATTTTTGTATTTTTAGTAGAGACAGGGTTTCACCATGTTGGTCAGGCTGGTCTTGAACTCCTGACCTCAAGTGATCCACACGCTTCTGCCTCCCAAAGTGCTGGGATTACAAGCGTCAGCCACCACACTCAGCCTCTTCCCTCATTTTAGTATAGATTTTTTATACAGATTTGAACTTGTAACCCCACTCAAGGAACACATTGAATCTAAGTTACCATCATTGTTTATGTTTCACTAAAAAACTCAGACACAGCATTTACTGTAAAATACAGACACGTTATTATTTCAGAGGCTTCAACACCTGCAAATTGCATTGACGAAATAGGGTATGTGTTTTATTCCATAAGCCACAACAAACTGTTTTTCGAAGCGGTGGGAGGTGGTAAAACTCATAAGAGATCAACATCAAATCCATGTTTTCGGAGATGAAGCATCCCTTTTGAAGACATTCTTCCCCCAAAAAGTGACCCCACCTCAAAGTACAGGCTCACCAGCGGCATTGGAGGATGTCTGCAATATCCCAGCCATCCAAGAATAGAGAGCTCTCTGGGAATGAGCAGAGGTTTGGTCGTAGAGATCTTTGAACACCGCAGATCTAAATAACACAAATACAGGCATCGATTAGTAACAAGCAGGTAGGGGCTGCTTTAAAGAGGGAGGGAGTCATAACAGCAAGTGGGACCCAAAGCTGTCTTATGTTAAAACCCCTCTCCTGAATGTAAATTAGTTCAACCATTGTGGAAGACAGTGTGGCAATTCGTCAAAGATCTAGAACTAGAAATACCATTTGACCCAGCAATCCCATTACTGGGTATATACCCCAAAAACATAAATCATTCTGTTACAAAGATAAATGCACATATATGTCCACTGCAGCACTATTCACAATAGCAAAGACATGGAATCAACCCAAATGCCCATCATGATAAATTGGATAAAGAAAATATGGTACGTATACCACTATAGAATACTATGCAGCCATAAAAAGGAGCAAGATCATGTCCTTTCCAGGGACATGAATGGAGCTGGAAGCCATTATCCACAGCAACCTAGCGCAGGAACAGAAAATGAAACACCCCACGTTCTCACTTATAAGTGGGAGCTGAACAATGAGATCACATGGACACAGGGAGAGGAACAACACACACTGGGGCCTGTTGTGGGGTCAGTTGGGGAAAGGGAGAGCCTTACGAAAACCAGCTAGTGCATACTGGGCTTAATACCTAGTTAATGGGTTGATAGGTCAGCAAACCACCATGGCACACATTTACCTATGTAACAAACCTGCACATCCTGCACGTGTACCCCAAAACTTAAAAATAACCCCCCCCACTCCTTAGCTATATGTAGTTATTTTCCCATTTTCCTCTTCCCCTTCACAGCTAAACACCTTCCAAAGAATATTCTACACATATTGTCACCACTTCCTCACCTCTTGGTCCTTTCTTGGGGAGGTGGGGGACAGCTCTGTTGAGATATAATTCATACACCCTACAATTCACCCACTTAAAGTACACAATTCAATGGTTTTCAGCACATAAGAAAAAGCCAAAGATGTTCCTGATGGCATTATTTGAGTCTCTGGATCCAGCTGTGTCTGAAGTCAGCCCTATACCTAAAACTATTCCATTACATGTTCCAGTAATTCCCTTTTTTCTTGAAGCCAGTTTGAATGGGTTTTTCTGCCTCTTAGGTTTACTGCTCACTCAAATGAGCAGTACTAACCAATAAACTCTCTCCCCCAATGCTGTTCTCTTCCACAACCTGAATGAATAAAGGAGGGAGAAGACACTGAATTTAAAAGGAATAGTGTAATAGCCTGCAGAGCAAAAGGATTTCATGAGTATGTGTCTTAGTGAAAAAACTGACACCCTAGAGAAAAGATGAGGTCAGTATACTATCGGTTTCCCCTACTGTCCTTTGGCTGCAAAAGATAAAAGGAATCTTCTACATTGTTATCATCATATTGGTCTTTTCCTTCTTCTAAATCATTTTTAGATTTAGAAAGACTGTTTTATAGCCATAAAGTGCTACAATTAGTAAAAGGAGGGAGTTGGCAGTGGTTGCAATGCCTAGGGCTCTTGAAGTCCTAGACACAATCCTCTAATTTGGTTTACATCAAAGCGCAATTTCATGCAGGGCTAGGAGTAACCAATATAAGCTAGCAGGGCATCTCAAAAGGAGAAAAATCCTCCTTTTTCAGTGCTCTGTCACTCCTTTTGCTGTCCCTCAAGAAGTACATCTCAGTTTAGTGCCAGTGAGTCTTTAAAACACACTCAGATTGTTTTTAAATCAAGAGAACAAGACTCAGGTTCAGAGCCTTGGTGCTGTGGACTGAACGTTCGCATTTCCCCAAATTTCCTGTGTTGAAACCTTAAGTCCCAACATGACAGTATTAAGAGGTGGAGTTTTGAGAGGTGATTAGGTCATGAGGCTGGATACCTCATGAATGGGATTAGTGCCCTTATAAAAGAGATCTCAGAGGGCTCAATCACCCCTTCCACCACGTGAGGACACAGCCAGAAGTTGCCACCTATAAACCAGACAGTGAGCCCTCACCAGACACCAAGTCTGTCAGCACCTTGATCTTGGACTTCCCAGCCTTCAGAACCATGTGAAATAAATGCTGTTTTTTATTAACTGCCCAATCTATGATATTTTTGTTATAGCAGCCCAATCTGATTAACACACTTAAGCAAGGAACATATCTAGCTAGGACTTAGTGACACTTTCTTTTCCACTGTATTTATTTATCTTTTTTTTTTCTGAGACAGAGTCTCACCCTTTCACTTAGGCTGGAGTGCAGTGGTGCGATCCTGGCTCACTGTAACTTCCACCTCCCAGGTTCAAGCGATTCTCTTGCTTCAGCCTCTCAAGCAGCTGGAATTACAGGCGCCCACCACCACACGTGGCTAATTTTTGTATTTTTAGTAGAGATGGAGTTTCACCATGTTGGCCAGGCTGATCTCGAGCTCTGACCTCAAGTGATCTGCCTGCCTCAGCCTCCCAAAGTGTTGGGATTATAGGCATGAGCCACTGTGCCCAGCTCCACTGTATTTATTTTTATGATGACTTTTACTTAAGACAAAGGGCAGTGGTTTCTCATTTATAGCAATGATACCAAATTTGCTCTTAAAATAAACATTTGTAAGTAAAAAAATTCATTACTATGAATAAAAGCATGAAGAAAATAGTACAGGCAGTGTAGAGTTATGGCAAAAACTGTGAAGATGGTAGCAGAGTGACTGAAATTTGAGAGACACTTTTTTAATCAAATTCTATCTCAACTCTACAGATTGTTTCGTTTGGTTTTGAGATGGAGTCTCACTCTGTCACCCAGGCTGGAGTGCAGTGGCATGATCTCAGCTCACTGCAACCTCCATCTCCCGGGATCAAGTGATTCTCCTGCGTCAGCCTCCCCAGTAGCTGGGATTACAGGTGTGCACCACCATGCCTGGCTAATTTTTGCATTTTTAGTAGAGATGTGGTTTTGCCATGTTGGCCAGGCTGGTCTCAAACTACTGACCTCATGATCCACCCACCTCTGCCTCCAAAAGTGCTGGGATTACAGGCGTGAGTAATCCCAGGCATGAGTTGGTCTGGGATTACACCCAGCCCAACTCTACAGATTTTAAGCTTTTGCTCCAAAACATGCATATCAACCTGTCCCCACCTGTCTTCTCCTTGCTGCCAGGTGATACCTCTTTGAATTCTCACAACAGCCCCTGAAGGATAGTGTGATGAGTTAAGAAGGTAGGAGTGGCCAGGTGCAGTGGCTCAGGCCTATAATCCCGGCACTTTGGGAAGCAAGCCAGGTGGATCACTTGACATCAGGAGTTTGAGACCCGCCTGACCAACATGTTGAAACTCTATCTCTAAAAAAATACAAAAACTAGCCAGGTGTGGTGGACATGCCTATAGTCCCAGCTACTTGGAATTGAGGCAGGAGAATCATATGAACCTGGGAGGCAAAGGTTGCAGTGAGCCCAGATTGCGCCGCTGCACTCCAGCCTGCGTGACAGAGTGAAACTCCATTTAAAAGAAGGAGGAGGAGAGGGAGGGAAGGGGGAGGGGG